TATATATATATAAATAAAGACACTTTAGTAGATTTTTTTCTTCCCAGCCGTTTTTGTCTGAGTTTGATTGTTCTAACTGAATATCAAGCCCTGCTTACAAAGACTTTTCCATTTAATAGATGTTTTTATTTTATAGGACTCAAACAGTAGTTAAATGAGATCAGTGAACTGAAAATTGAGAAAAAGCTTGCAAATAGAAAAATCATACAATTAGTGAGTCATCTTTGTTAATTAGACATGTTACAAAAGAATGCACTGAGATGTTAAATTACAATAACAAATATAAATATAAGAAAGCTCTGTAATTTAATCTCCTATAAACTCATCAAGTCTTTTTGTCTTATTTGTGGATGTTTGCCTAAGTTATGCTTTGAGCCACCTTACTCAAAGCACATTCTTTTGTTTTAAACACTTAGGACACTTTACTTGGTCCACTTGTTCAAATGCTTCTTAACACAAATAGCTTATCTGTCAGTCACATGGCAACTCAGTGCCTCATCTCAACAACTAGTTTTTCTTTAGCCATTGTTGCATTTTGTAAGGTAAGCAGCAGTACTACAAATAAAGAGAAGAACTGTATTAAAAAAACATGAACAGAGTAAAATCAGTTTTTTTCAGGAGTGTCAAACATAGCCAGCTGGTGAAAGAGATCATTTAAATGTAATAGAAACTAATTTTTGGCATGCAACATATGCTTCCAGTTTCTTTTGCCTCTTATTGTCCAGTGTTAGCTGACAAGAGAAGCACCTAACTCAAATACCATCTCTGGAGTAAATATATATTTCTTACAGTATTTGCTGCCATTTGAACCAACACAAAAGAGGCAGCTTTGATCCAAAACCCAGATTTCATAAAATCAATATTTTTACACAAAACAAAGAAAGAATACATTTGGTCAGACATTTGTTAAACAAATCAGTTCTTTAAACCTGCAACAAATGAAATATAGACATTAAAATGTAACAAAACCTACATTTTTACAAATTGCCTCTTTAGTTTGAGGCTTATGTGGAGTTGATTTGTGAAGAAGAGCTGCTGCTGCCAGAGCTCTTAGTCTTCTGCCCTCTAGTGGTGCTGGGCTGCCGCTGCGCCTTCTGGCTGGGAGCATCTCTGCTTTTCTCACTTTGACCTGCTCCAGCTCTACTGCGCACAGCTAAAACATAAACAAAATGAACAAAACAATTAACGACACATTAAAGAACACATGGAAATTTAAATGACTGCTCTATCTTCACAGGTTTTTAGAGGAACATGGCACTGATGAAACTAAAGGGCAACAAGGACAAAAGCATGGGGTGTTACAAAGTGAAGCCGAGACACAAGGAAGAAAGCTTTACACTGTTCTTTAATAAGAAACAACAAACAAACAAAAAACAGCACAACACAAACATTGCACATGACCAACAATTAGAAATGAGAAGAAAATATTTTTAGCAAAAATTGGATGTTAAATTGCAGAGCGTCTTTAGTATGGAGGATTGAATCTGACATATTTAGATACAAAAGCTGAAATATATGATAAATAAATACACTTAAAATGCAGAAATGCATAAGGAAATGTAAATACAGGAGACAGAGAAATGTAAAAGTGACACAGAAATAAAAAGATTTGTGGGAAAAATTATAAAAAAAATAATTATGATCATTTAAGAGAGACAAATGCATGTACAAGTAAAAGGAAAGACGAAAGTATACATTTTTAAAACAATAAAATTTAAATCATGTGCTAAAATATATGACTTATTGGGACTAAGCTGGAAAAATAAATAATGGTCAATTAAATTATAAAATATGAGGAAAAGTTCTTTTTTAATTTAATTGGTGAATTTTAAGTGTATTCATTTATTGATTGGTTCATTTATATATTTCTGCTTTTATTTCTAATTAGATCAGATTCGATCTTCCATACTTTGTTTTTTTTTTCTAGATAGCAACCATTATAATCATTTAAGGTTACTACAAGATAAAACTAGAAAACCAGTAAATCTATTTATTTCTTGAAATATACAATGGGTTTAAAAACATTTAAGTATTTAAATAAATATTTAAACAAATGTATGTATTTATTTTGTTATCTTACAATCTGAAATTTAACTGCACAAATGCTGAGTCATCATTCACACTGTTTTTCTGTATTTTGGACCAACAACTTCAACATACTTTCAGCTCTTTTAACAATTCATAAACTGAAATGTTCAGCTAGTTCAGGACATTATTTGGCTTTTGTAACTATTGTACTTTTAAAAATATTTACATTAGCTATTTATTTTCTCATTGAAATTAATAAATTACTCTTCAAATCTTGAACTTTGCTCTGACAATTCTGCCTAACAGCAGTGCAACATCTCGAAATAGCAACAGCAACTGACAAGAGAGAGAGTCTGAGGACCACGGAATTCTACAGACAAAGCATCTCCCATCTGAGCCAGGCAAACTAAGGTCTTTGAGTGGGAGAGGAATGAAATTAATCTGTGAATCCAGCTGCATGAAAGGAGCATCTTATCCAGTTTAAAGTTTAGAACACAACACTGAGAGAAAAGACTGAGAATATAAAGGAGTAACTCCTCACACAGGTCAGAGACTAGGGTTGTGGTTAACACTTCCAAATAAAGGTCAAGAAATCCTGTCCATTCTGCAAGTCTGTTATAACTGATTAACTAACCATGAACTACAGGTAAACAACACAACATATTTAATTCTTTAAAGTGGCTATAAAGATAAAAATGTTGGTAATTTACACAATAATCTCCATAGAAATCATGGGTTAAAATTATCCTCTATAGTGTGTATATATACACACACTATATTGCCAAAAGTATTTGCTCACCCATCCAAATTATCACAGGTGTTCCAATCACTTCCATGGTCACAGGTGTATAAAATGAAGCACCTAGGCATACAGACTGTTTTTTTACAAACATTTGTGAAAAAATGGGTCACTCTCAGAGCTCAGTGGAACTGTGATAAGATGCCACCTGTGCAACAAATCCAGTCGTGAAATTTCCTCGCTCCTAAATGTTCCACAGTCAACTGTCAGCTGTAATAAAAGAAAATAGAAGTGTTTGGGAATGACAGCAACTCAGCCATGAAGTGGTAGGCTAGGTAAACTGACAGAGCTGGATCAGAGGATGCTGAAGCACATAGTGCGAAGAGCTCGCCAACTTTATACAGAGTCAATCACTACAGACCTCCAAACTTCATGTGGCCTTCAGATTAGCTCAAGAACAGTGCACAGAGAGCTTCATGGAATGGATTTCTATGGTCAAACAGCTGCAACCAAGCCATACATCACCAAGTGCAACGTAAAGTGTCGGATGAAGTGGTGTAAAGCACGCCGCCACTGGACTCTAGAGCAGTGGAGGTGCGTTCTCTGGAGTAACGAATCACGCTTCTCCATTTAGCAATCTGATGGATGAGTCAGGGTTTGGAGGATGCCAGGAGAACGGTACTTGTCTGACTGCACTGTGCCAAGTGTAAAGTTTGGTGGAGGGGGATTTTTTGTGTGGGGTTGATTTTCAGGAGCTGGGCTTGGCCTCTTAGTTCCAGTGAAAGGAACTCTTGAATGCTTCAGCAGACCAAGACATTTTGGACAAACTATGCTCCCAACATGTGGGGACAGTTTGGAGTTGGCCCCTTCCTCTTCCCACATGACTGTGCACCAGAGCACAAAGCAAGGTCCATAAAGACATGGATGGCAGGGTCTGGTGTGGATGAACTTGACTGGCCTGCACAGAGTCCCAGTTAGACTGCTTTAGAGATTTCTTATTTTCATCCAATCATGTTAGCAAATCTCCATCTTCCATAACTTTTGGACCCAAAAGTTGCAAGTTCGAACCTTGGTCATAACTAGGGGTGTAAATCACCAGCTTTATCATGATGCATTGTTACGTCGATATTTCTCAATATCACAAAGTCTGTCACGATACAATTTCGATTCAATTCAATTCACAAGTCTCCGATCAATATAATGTGACGTATGCCCATCTAATACAATGACTGTGTTTGATGGGCATTTGATATTGATTCACATCGGCATATGATACTGTATATCGATGGATATTTTCATTTTGCCTCAATATAATTGAATCATTAACCATTCAAATGGATATGATATAGCTCGATGTATTGTTACACCCCTAGTCATAACCTTAGAGTGATGACATTTGGGCCAGAAAAACATATAGTTAACTGAGAAGACATTTGAAGTATAAATTTAAGATAATTTTCCTGATCCCCAGCTCGAGCGCTGACCTCAACCTGATAAAACACCTTTGTGATGAATTAGAGCAGAGACTGAGAGACAGACCTTCTGTCCAACATCAATATGTGACCTCACAAATGTGCTTCTGAAAGAATGGTCAAAAATCCACATAAACACTCCTAAACCTTGTGGACAGCCTTCAGAAGAGTTGAAGCTGTTCTAGCTGCAAAGGGTGGACCAACATCATATTGAACCCTGTGGATTAGGAACGAGATGTACCTTAAACTCATTTGTGAGTCAAGGTAGGTGAGTGAATACTGGCAATATACAGTAGTGTATATGTGTGTCTATATATGTTTTATTCTATACTACTCCTTGTTTTCAGTAACTGTTTTATGATGTGTGCTACTGACCTCTTGGCCAGGTCACCCTTGAAAAACATTTTTGATGACACTTTTTTTATCGTTATATAAAAGGTAATGAAATCTGCTTGAAAATGGAAAAACCCCGAGGGCAAATTCTTGTAGCCTTGCACCACCACATATACATTTCTCCAGTGTTGTATAAAGTACCTCAAAGTGATACTTGGGTAAAAGTATCATAAAAATACTTTGGTAAAAGTTAAAGTCTTCTCTAAAAATATTACTTGAGTAAAAGTCTTAAAGGATCTGATATTTTTTGTACTTAAAGACAGCGTGTAGGATTTTGTCAATTCTTTTTGCTGAAATAGAGATAGTCACTAATGACAATAAAAAAACATGTCTAATCATTGCAGACAAAGACCTTGTTTTATTATTTTTTCTTATAAAAAGCTGTTTATATCTCCATGGTTGCGGGTCGCCACTACAGGCAGCCACCATCTTGCACCGCCATCTTGTCTACGAAGGCTCATGAAGGACAAACTGCGGTGGCGGCATCAAAAACGGTTTTAGTTGTTATACTATAAATGTAATATTTGTTGTCTGTCATTGTAGCTGGGATAATTTTACTTTTAAAGCTCATAATCTTACCACTTGAAACATCACTAGCCCTGAAGCTGCTGGTAGACATCGTGGTTGGAATTATCAAAGGTTTTTGACACCTGAAAGACACCGTAGCAACTCCTGTGTTTGGAAGCCAGGGTTGGGGGTGGGGGGAGGACCAGGGAGGATGGTTCAACCACTCAACCACTAGATGTCACTGAAAACAACAAATCCTACACGCTGTGCCTTTTAATATCAAAAGTAAATTTCTGACACAAAATCTACTTAAGTATTAAAAGTAAAAGTACTGAGTAAAAGTGAGCAGTTAGATTTTTCAAAATGACATTTATTGGGAGGTGACTTCTCCAAAAAATATTTTTCTAACGGCGTGCAGCAGTGATGGGTTGTGTACAAGCTAATAGTGTGTCAGAATGGTATTTATTTATACTTCTCATCCAACCACAATTAAATTCACTCTATCCAGGAGACAAAATTTATCAAGATAATATTTTTTTAAGTAATAACAACTCAGAATAAAATAGGAGTAACAACTTTCTACTTCTTACCTTTTTTAAAAATGTAGTGAGTAGAAAGTACAGATAATTGTGTAAAAATGTAATGAGTAAAAGTAAAAAGTAYGCTGAAAAATAATTACGCAAGTAAAGTACAGATAACCAAAATTTCTACTCAAGTACAGTACCAAAGTATTTGTACTTAGTTACTTTACAACTCTGCATTTCACATGCCTTGTCTTCTGCGTCATGATGAAGACAATTATTTAAGTTTTAAATAGATTGTTTTTTGAAGACAAGCACCTGCATGCAAACAGTTTTGGTAATGAAATGAAAAAGAATGGTTCAAAGTGTAGATACAAAAAGGATGTTTTATTATGAAAGTGCAAGCAAGGTGTAGTTGTTAGGGATGAAAGATGAATGTGTATGAGAGATAATGCTGCAGAAGGGACCTTGAGAGTGAGCAGGGCTAGCGTCTTGGGGGCCATAGACCACAATCTTAGTGTTGACCCTTGTGGCTCTGGGGCCTGATGCTGAGTGGAGTGCTGCAGGAGCCTTAGGGCTTTTTCCAGAGACCAAAGAATCTTCTTCTTCAGGAAACAAGAGGCATAGGTGGAAAAAAATTATTCAAGGGTGATAGAAGAGAAATTAGACAGAGCGGTGACATGCACAGAGGGAAGATCAGCTTCTGTATTAGCTACGTGTGCTATGTATTAGGTCTTCAGTTCACCTCCACATTGGAAATCCCTTTAGTAGAGTGAAGTGGAGTGAGTTAGTGAGAGGAATTAGGCAAGGTGGAAGCACAACTACTGTATATGTATGGATGTAAGTCTACAGAAACATATTGTATAACTGAAAGAGAGATTAAACCAAGACAGATTCTTTATCATGCAGCAGAATAATATTCCAGAACTCACACTGCTTAAACCACAAGAGTTCATCAGAAGCAACAATCTGAAAACACTTTATACACACACACACGCATGCCTGTTTTTGTTATACAGGCATGCAAAATACTAAAACCAAATCCAACATATTTTAAGACCGTAGTAACGTCATCAGTAGAGAATAAGGTAAGATAAGATAAAACTTTATTGATCCCACAGTGGGGAAATTTGCACTTTACTGCAGCTCAATACAGGAGAGGGTGAGATAGAATAAAGAAAGATAAGTAAAAGAAAACAAAAAAGAATGCCTTTAACTGTACACCACATGGACTATTTCGCGGATACTGTTGAGCGCCGCCATACAGAACTGGTGCACAATGGTTTTGTGAGATTGTTTGAGGGCAACCGAAAGAAAAATCAGCTAAGTGACAGGTTCTCAGACTTTAAAGACTAGATTGTTGTGCATCTTAACATGTTTCTTTTGGTTCATAATGGACCAATTTCTAACCAGAAAAAGAAAAAAACTCATTCAGAACTTTTACACTGCTCGTATGTTGGGATTATAGTGCCTAAAATATCAATCTGGAGATGCAAAATACAAGTAAGGTTATAGTGTTGTTCAATAATTTCAGTATAATTATAATGCAATCATTACTATAGTATCTCACAATATCAAATTTATTGGCAGAGAAAATCCCAGTATACAGATCATATTATCAGCATTATGACCAGTGGTGCTGAGTGATAAACATTTTATCTACATATAATCTTGAGTTAGGCCGACCTATGAGTCATTAAATGCCAAATATAAAATGTCATCTTTGGCCACACATCAAATTTAGCATGAATATTAAATTAAGGTTTGTGTTTTTGTGCTAATGGGGGCGTTTGATTTTACGGTCTGTAGCATGGTGTATCTGGAGATGATTGTGCAAAGAAGGATTTTACATAAAATCAACAACATTGTGGACAACTCTGACCATCCTCTTCATCGGACTGCAACACCTAATTTACACTACATGCGGCTCTGCTCCAGTCCGACCTCCGCAGCAAATACACACCCACTATAATCAATGAGAGTGTTTACACTGGGTCCGCAAGGCGGCGGTGAGCGGATGGCGATCCGTCAAAATTAGAACAGATCCTATTTTTGCCGGACGCCGGAGCTGCTCCCGAGTCAATCTACAGAGATCACGTCGCACCAACAGGAAAAGAAACAAGCACAACATCCATATTTTCAAAATAAATCAACATTAGGCGGAATAATTTGTCGGAATAATGTCAAAATCCCTGCTATATTAATAAATATATGGATATATTTGTACACAAATGCTGTCAGAATGTATCGTTCTGTTTGGGAAGCAGATGGAAACATGTAGCATGAAGCATATGTGTACACACACGATACACGTGGATTTTATTTTGAAATCAGAAGTTTCAGAAAGCCGACAGCGAGATAGTTTCAGCATAGATATCAAAAGCTTGTATATCAATGTTTTCAGCTGTGTTTGGAGTTCGTCTTTCACAGAATTAATTATTTTTTTGCTCTGACTTCCACATTTATAACTGGATTTATCGTGCAGTCTCCTTCCTGCACATGCTCCCTCCTCTGTGTGTCGCAGCGCAGCGCAGCGGAGTCGCATGTAGTGTAAATCAGAGTCATAGAAAAACAGAGTGTCTTCAGTCGGAGGCTTCTTCACTTTCGTTGTACTACAGACCACAACGTAAGATCTTTCCTGCCCAAAGCCATCATCATCTACAATAACTCTTTAGTTAAATAAGTTACAACAACATCTAATTTCCCTCTGGGATCAATAAAGTAGTTTTGAATTGAATTGAACTGATATTATTGTTAATAAATAAACTGAACACCATTATATAGATGTGTTCAAGTTTTAAGATAGTCCATAGCTATATTTGTGATATTTTGAGGTCAAAATGATCTGTAGTCATCAAACATATATGGTAAAGATCGCTGACACCACATCAACATGTTTAACACTAGATCTACTAGACCCACTGTCGACAATCATATGTTCTCATTATCCTATATACTATAACTTATATTCATGTATTTACAAACAATGTTGCATATAGTGGTTTGGGGAGTCGTTCTGGAACTGGAAGGTCGCCTGTTCGATCCCCGTCCAGTCGACTCAGTCGTTGTGTCCTTGGGCAAGACACCTCACCCACCTTGCCTACTGATGGTGGTCAGAGGGTCCTGTGGCGCCTGTGTATGGCAGCCTCGCCTCTGTCAGTGCGCACCAGGGCAGCTGTGGCTACAATTTAGTTTGCCATCATCAGTGTGTGAAAATGTGAGTGCATGGGTGAATGTCTGTAGTGTGAAGCGCTTTGAGTGTCCTGGATGGATAGAAAGGCGCTATATACTGTAAGTACAGTCCATTTACCATTTTACCATTTACCATTTACATACACAAGTGGCACAGCAATTTCCACAACTCATTTTCACAATCAATCAGTTCACACACTGGCACCAGACACCCCCAAACTGGACCATGATGTTTGGGCTGGGCAGAGACAGCAATATCCGTGAAATAGTCCTTTAAATTAAAAATAGATTTGTGGGATTTTAAGCCTGGTGGACATTGGTTGTACCATGTGTCAGACTTAAACACTAACCTTTGACCTCTGTAGGTTGTGAATCATCAGACTTAAACATTAACCTTTGACCTCTGTAGGTTTTGTACCATGTGTCAGACTTAAACACTAACCTTTGACCTCTGTAGGTT